GGGCCCTCAACGGGCGGGACGGGTCGGGTCGGGCGGGCAGGACATTAAAGTATGATGCGCCATGAAGTTGGCACGCGAGTACCCTGACGGGCGGGACGGGTCGGGCGGGCGGACCCTAATTGGCGGGACGGGTCGGGTCGGGTCGGGCAGGACGGGTCGGGTGGGTGGCCCTCGATGATGGATGAGGGAGGAGAGGGGAGGAGGAAGTAGGGAGGGATGAAGGATTTGGGGCGGGGGGACGTAGCGGCAACGAGAGATGGGGGAGGGCGGGAGAGCAGAGAGGGATGGATGAGGAGGAGGAGGAGGAGGAGGAGGAGGAAGAGGAGGAGCAGCAGCACCAGCAACAGCAGCAGCAGCAGCAGCAGTGTAATGAGAGAGAGTAGCAGGAAGGAATCGCCTCTGTGGAACCCGTCCTGTGGAACCGGTCCTGTGGAACCAGTCCTGTGGAACCGGGCTTGTGGAACCGGTTCTGTGGTACCGGTCCTGCGGAACCGGTCCTGTGGAACTGGTTCCGTGGAACCGGTTCTGCGGAACCGGTCCTGTTGAACCGGTCTTTGTTGAACCGGTCCTTGCTGACATGGTCGTCTGTTGAACCGGTGTCTGTTGAATCGGTCGTCTGTTGAACCGGTCCCTGTTGAACCGGTCGTCTGTTGAACCGGTCTTCTTCCGGTGGCGGGCAAGCCTCCGACGAGTAGACGTCCTGCAACATGGTCGCGAAGACCTGCGGGTCAGGTCGCGGCGCTGCTTTGCCACTCACAGGCTCCTCAGAACGGGCCGGGATCTTCTTCAGATCGGACGAGCGCTCAAGCTGGGCGCGAATGTTCTCTGTCTGCCACTCCCGCAAAACGTTCCTCGTGCCGCTGGCTATTAGCTTGGGCGACCGGCGTCTCTCGGCAAAGTCCGAGCACTGCAGGCGTTGGCGCCGCACTTCTGGAAAATCGTGGTTGCGCCATGGCCTCTGGCATCTCTGGGGGGGCTCCGGGGCCCAAGACAGGCATGCCGCATCAACCGCGACTTCTGTAGGTCTGAAACTGACCGGCCAAGACAAACCTCCAGCGTGGTCTCTCTGCCCCATGGAACTGCAACGACCCTCGCTATCTCGCGCGTCTCGGCCCAGTGGGTCTCTCGGCAAGCGGCCCCAAAATATCAATGCATGGCGCGACGCCTCGGTGATCCGACCCAAGGTGGAGCTGGTTTGACGCCCTGGCAGCGCTGAAGCCAAAAGTGTTGTCGACGAGAATGCAATCCGATTGCCGTCGCTCCTCCAATGTGCTCTCGAAGATCCACTTGTCTTCCCAAGAAATGTGTCATCATCGTCTGTCGTAATGGTTAGCTTGTGCTCTGTAACGAACCCACGCAGCAGGTCGCTGCGCAGGCCTAGCCGGAATTGCGTGTTGAAGTCTCCATAAGTCAGCACCCTCCTACCAAAGCGCGCGGTTTCAACCACCAGCTGTTGCAGCTCCGCGTAGTCGAGCAGACAAGCGAGGCCGTAACCAAGGTGAGTCGCGCAAGCAACGGAGATCCAACAATTGCGTCCCAGAGTGCAGCGGCACCTGTGCGGCGTGCTTCGACCAATCCGGATATTAGGCGGTGGCCCCCATGAGGTATCCCATCAGATTCTGCAGCCTTGTCTCGCAAAAAAACAAACAATACTCTGCTTCGCCACAGCAGGTTCCGCAAGTAAATTAGCCAGCCTCGTGGGAGAACTGATCCTTGCATTTTTGCAGAAGGTCCCAAGAGGCTGCCGAAACCGTCCTAGATTGGACGGAGTGGGGACCGATCGGGGCAGCTCCTAGAAGGACCGTGTCTCCTTGCATTTGTCGAGGCCCTTGCATGGAGCGGAGCTTCGCTGCAGCTTTTCCTTCGCCGCGTCGAGCAGGTCAGTGACGGTCTTGTTCGTGCCGTCGGGCATGAGGTACGCATCCCACCTCACGCCATACTCAATAATAGGCGTTTGGTTGTCCGTGGTCATTTTGGTTACGAGGTCGTTCCCGCAAGACAAACTCATGGTTGAAGATCTGCCCGAAGACTTTTCTTCTCGAAACCCCAGTCGACCAACATCTGCTTGACTCCGAATCAAATGCGTTGCAACGCCCGTGTCTCGAGAGGCTGCTCTGGCTTGGCCCATGCTTTCTGCGAGCCGTATTCTAGCGAGGTCTTGCGGACGGCTTCTACCGCAGCGTCCCGTTCGACTGCAGACGAGTACTTTCCGAAGGCGACCCCGTTGAACGAAGAGAAATCGCCTTTGATGTACGTCTGAACTGGCGGAGTAGCCTTCGCACCTGCTAGAGCACGCGAAATCCTCTTGTCAAGTTCGTCCTGGTTCGTGGTACCGCGGAAATCCCCAAGCACGGCTGCACGACCTATCTGGTGTGTGAGTTTGCCGGAGTTCATGTTCTGGTTGGTCGCAATCCTGGGCATGACAACCTCCATCTCCAGAGCCTCGATCTGGTCCCAAACTTCCGCCTCCGTCCAGGAGCCTGCACACGAGCCTTCCGAGTTCTCCGGGTTCGTGAAGCGAATCCCTACATCCTCCAAGCGTACTTCGGAGGCTGTCATCCGCGCCTCGATCGCCCCACCGAGCTCGGACACCTGGCGCTCCGAGCCGGCAGCCGCGTTCCTCAATGGTTGGACTTTTATATACATATATACATATATATTTATATATAAAATTTTATTTTTTAGAATAAAAAATAGATTACCCAGCGCACGATATTCGTTGTGTCTTGGCGTCCCAAAGCAAAATGACACCACAGATGAGGAAAAATACGCGTCTCAAATGCAACCTCTTCGTTGCACCGTACCGAGCACGCCATGCCCCTGGACCCCTTTCAAAAGCAGGGAGCAACAAAACACGGGTGGCACTACATATGACAATGAGGAATAAAACGCGTCTCAAATGCAACGTCCTCGTTGCACCATGCCGGGCACTCCATGCCCCTGGACCCCTTAACACAGCAAGGAACAGCAGCGCACGGGTGGCACTACAGATGAGGAAAGCTTTGCGACTCAAATGCAACCTCCTTGTTGCATTTGTCTGAGGGGGGGTGAGGCAGAGGCAGAGGAGGAGGAGGGCGAGGAGGAGGAGGGAGAACACGCCCTGACAAAAACTCGCGCGTGCGTAGGCCGACCCAGGTAGACGGCACCCGCACAATTACCCTCGCGAGCACGAGCGAAACAAAGGGGGAGGAAGGAGGGGAGGACGGGGAGGAGCAGGACAAGGCGAGCAGGGATGGCACAGTCCAGGAACTTGCGTTGGTTGCTGCAGGGTGTGCGTGGCAATGCCGGCTCGAACCCTGCCGAGTAGGGGCGGGACCAACAGGGCGCGAACACCTGTGTGTTGGGCGGCCTGAAGAAAAACTACGGAAGGAGGGCAAAGCGGGGAGCAGAGAAGAAACAAGGGAAAGGCGAAGAGCGCTGGCCGCCCATGAAACTCCTCGCCAGGCCCTCGCGGCATGCATAAGGCTGTTCAGATGGAGATGTAGACGCAGTGCCTTTTGCGGTGGTGTTCCAGATCACGACCTGGGAGGTGGAAAAGCTCGCCTGTCGTTGTTCCGGTCGTGTGGCGAGTACGCCGGGGTTGGAGCTGGAGTCGATGCCGGCAGGATCGTCGTGGCAATCTAAACGGTCGCCTCCCTAGACGTGGGCTGGATATCCGAATCAGAAACCCGAGTCGTGATTGGGGTTGGACTTCTTGTTTCAAAAGGGCCGCAATCTCCTGGAGCGTAGGTGCCTGCTGCTGCTGCTGCTGCTGTGGCTGTGCTGCTGCTCCACGTGCTGCATCCTGCGGACTGCTCGGCGTTGCGATCGGATGCAGCTCCGCCTGCCAAGGGCGAGAAAGAGCGCGCAGTCCATTCATCTCGTGCAAACGGCTGAAAAGGCGCTGACGGACATCGCGCTGAAAGTCCTTACCTACCGGGGTCCCCGGCTGGCGAGTGTGCTGCCTTCGCTCCGTAGCCGTCGCCATCGCACAGCAAGTTTCGATAGAGAAACTGGCAGAAATAATCATAATGCGACAGTGGGCGCAAAGTGGAGGAAGAGTTGGATGTAGGATATCGGATGCCCTTACTTGCCACTCTGCACAGCTTGAGCCCTTGAGCCAAAAAACATTGAGCCGAAATGGCTCGCGTGATCTCGCGTGATCGGCAGTTCGTTCCGTATTGGCCGATTTTGCTGTGGGACACTGGCGGGGTTCAACCTTGCCCGCCCGCGGCGGGGTCGCCGCCGCGTCAACACGACACGAAGCTATCGTACTTGTTCAAGCCAGCTTGCATCCGTTTGACAGATCCGTGCGGCGTGCGGCTCCAGGGCCGCTGGAATGAGTGCCGCGGGGGGGAGCCGACCGAGAGCACGGACGAATCGCGAGGAGGTCTACGGGGCGCGCATGAAGCCAGGGGGGATGCGGAGGATGCTGCCCAGCGCGCCACGATCGAGCGCAGGGCAGATGTGCAGAGACCCTTCGACACCTGGGCGGGACCCTTGGGACGTCCAGAAGATGCCGAGGGATCGGCCAAAGTGAGCAAGGGCACAGGAGCGCCCGTGCACAGCAGGGTCGTGACACGATGACCTGGGAGCTTGTTTCTGACACTGCGTGGCTCGGTGAACCTCGAACAATCGCGGCGTTCCGATCGCGCAGATCGTTCGATGCCAGCCGGTTCTGGGCCACTGGCGGCCCCCAACCTTGGAACGCCCGCGCTGGAGGTCGCCGCCGCGTCGACGTGGCACGACCCTGCCATACCCCAGTGCAAGGACTCCATCCTGAGATACTGTAGATTCCTGCGATAAGAAATCTTGGGCTAAGAAGTTCTGGGGCATGCGTGTCGTCGATCTTCGAGCTCCCTGAGGTACCCCAGGGCGTCTGTGGCTCCGCATGGCCATCGGGGGGGATGAGAACCTTCTGCGGGGCGCCTGCTGGCAGTCTGGGCTCTCATCTGACGTGCCTACTGCAAAGACGTTTGCCTGCACTGGTCTCCCCCCCTCCCCCTCGGCGCGCGCGCCGCCTGCAGCATGTCCGCAACGCCAGAGCCCGCCGGCAACGCCTGCAGAGGAATAAAAGCCGCACAAACATCAACTGTTGGAGGACCGCGCAGACTTCTTGGACCCTGGATCTGCGCCGGGCCCCCTCCCCCCCTGGCGCGCGGGTCGCGTCCCAGGGACGGCGCCAGAGGCGCCGCCAGGGGAGGGGTGCCCAGCGCAGATCCAAAGAAATCAGCGCGGACCTCCGAAAGATTACGGCAGATTCGTGTCGTGCCGACTTTGGCACTGGTTTTTGACACCGCGGGGATCGTTCAACGCTGACCGATCGGCCGCTTCCGAAAGGTCAGATCGTTCAACATCGACCGATTCTGGTTCGCCAGCGGCGTTCTACGGAACGCCGGCGGCGGGGTCGCCGCCGGTCGACACGACGCGAACATACTGTATGCTGATGCAGCTTGTTGCTCCTCGAGCCTGGGGCCGCAAGCTGGCGGTGCCGTGCAGGGGGAACAGGTGGCTCTTGCGCAGCATGAGTCCGTCGCTGGCCGCCTCGGGCTGGGCGCGCCGAGGAGCAGGCGCAGGCCCCTGAAAGGACGACGGCGACGGCGGCGACGACGACGACGACGACGACCACGACCACGACGACGACGACGACGACGACGACGACGACCACGACCACGACCACGACGACGACGACGACGAGGCTTGGTCGGACGCCCGAGGAGCGCCGGGGCGGCCGTGGCGCGCCCCTGACAGGCTCGCGCCGCGAGGGCGGCGAAGGCGAGACGCTACGCTGGGTGCGGCGAAGGCAGGGCGCAGTCGAAGTCGGACCAGGAACAATCAGGCCGGGTCGGCGCGCGCGGCGACATCGGGCCGCGTCGGCACGGGGTCGGAGTCTTGAGTCGGAGCGGCCGCGCCAAGATTCATGGCAGCGCCACGCCGTGCAAGTATCGGGTCGCATCGGGTCTTCGGGATAGCTATCGGAATCGAATCGCATGGGGCGTGGCCAGAATCGATATCGAAGCGGGTCGGAAAGATCGAAGACGGCTGCGCCAAATGTCCACCTGCACCAACTGCCGGGCGCGAGTCCCCCCAGCCCAGCCTGGCCAGGAGGGCGCTGGAGCCGAGAACGGTGTATGTGGGAGGTGGTGATTGTGGAGATTCTGGGGCCCCGTAAGTGAAACAACAATGCGGCCCCATTCAATCTTCAGACCCCCCCATCGAGTTGGAAACTACTCATCTACTCGGCGACGTAATTAACGGACTGGGGCCCCACCGACAATGGGAACGTTCTTTATCCGAGCCGCCCGCCAAGTAACAACGACGACGACTGCGACTGCGATTGCTACTGCGACCATGCTGCCACTGCGGCAGTGGCTACAGCGACGACTAAGACTACGAGTAAGCAGCGACCACGACTACTATTGCGACTACCACCACGACTGCGCCTACGACTACGACTGCGACTATAAGAGACCACGACGAGAGCGAGCACTACTACGACTACCACTACCACTACGACTACTACCACTACTACGACTACCACTACCACTACCACTACTACTACTACTACTACTACTACTACTACTACTACTACTACTACTACTACTACTACTACTACTACTACTACTACTACTACTACTACTACTACTACTACTACTACTACTACTACTACTACTACTACTACTACTACTACTACTACTACTACTACTACTACTACTACTACTACTACTACTACTACTACTACTACTACTACTACTACTACTACTACTACTACTACTACTACTACTACTACTACTACTACTACTACTACTACTACTACTACTACTACTACTACTACTACTACTACTGCTACTGGCTACTGCTACTGCTACTGCTACTGCTAACTGCTACTGCTACTGCTACTGCTACTGCTAACTGCTACGCTACTGCTACTGCTACTGCTACTGCTGACTGCTACTGCTCTGCTACTGCTACTGCTACTGCTAACTGCTACTGCTACTGCTGACTGCTACTGCTACTGCTAACGCTACTGCCTACTACTACTGCTACTGCTACTGCTACTGCTACTGCTACTGCTACTGCTACTGCGACTGCGACTGCGACTGCGACTGCGACTGCGACTGCGACTGCGACTGCGACTGCTACTGCTACTGCTACTGCTACTCCTACTACTACTGCTACTAC